TGATTCGGTGGCCAATGACAGTACGGACGCCGCATTTATCGGGTATGTTATGCGCGCACCGCTGCCGCGCCATTCCGTAATTATTTGTATAAATCTATGAGAGCGAGCGATTTCTCAAATATGCGCCTTATTAAATTGTCGAAGGTGATAAAAACGACATAGAATACAGCATTAGACAGCAATTTCGCTGGTGATTTATATAATCCAAAAACTTTGTGAAACCATGTGCGATTGCTGTTCCACTGTTGCCGTCACCACATTGCTGTTGCATCGTGTCGCGCCATCAAATTTTCACTCTCGAATCAGATTCAATTCATTGAAAAGAAGACAGAAAAAAAAACAGTTACCGAAACGATACCCACAACTCATTCACAGTGGCATTAATAAACATGTATGTTTGCAAAAGCTTATGTGCTTACGATCAAGATCGAGACTAATAAGGAAGAAATTAGCGATCTTACCGCCAGCAATCACGAATTTATTCCCTTGGGCGCGCACCTCTCTCTCTCGTTCGGTCGCTGTATCCCGCTCTCTCTCTCTCCCTCATTCTCCATGTTCCTCATTCTGCCTGCGTTCTCTTTCTCGCTCACCAGCGCGATCTTTTGTTTGTCTTAAGTGCGCATGCGATGTGTCGGTTTTCCCTTCCGTGCCAACCAAATTATTGATTATTATAAAGCCATTTCAATTTCTTCAAATCAAAAATGATTAAATTTTGTTGCTTTTCTTTTCGTTTCTTTTACATTGTATTTTACTTTTGTTTTTCATTTTCATTTTTTTTGGAACAAAACAACCGATTACATGACCTAACAAACGGAAATGAACGAGAGTGAAACCCCGAAGCGATATTAATGAACACATCGGCTAATTGACAAAATCGATCTTTTTCACCTTTTACTTTTTTCCCTTCATTCACGTCACCGCTCCTTCCAACCTTTTTGCGGTAACAAAATTTTCCTGATTACCATATGGCTCGATATGACTGTTCCGACCATTTGGCCCCAAATCCATTCAAATTTGCCGTAATTTTGCTACCAATTTCAATTTGCAAACATCTCTGTTTGTCGTTGATTAAATTTTCGTAAATTTAGCGAAAAACATTTGCGAATTTTTTAATTTGCACATTTTTCCTCTCTCTACATTCAATTTGGCATCGTTTTTTTTTCATCTCTTAATTCATTTGAGAATTTGCTTCGGCTTTTGCTTCATCTTTAGATTTTGCTTGAGCTTCAGATTCGGTTTTTACTTCAGCTTCGGCTTTATCTACTAAAATGTGTGTCTGTGCAATAAAATTATCCAACATTTTAGCAATTTTCCATGGACAATTATGCTCTTCCATGGCGAAAAAAAAAGAGAAGTGAAAAACGGGTCATCGGCATCGAAAAGCAAAATCAACGTTAGATTAAAGCCCGAACAATACACCGCTGATTTCTAATCAATTGTTTTATCCAATTGAACAATGGCCCAGCTGGCGCCAAACGATCACGCATTTATTCAAATCGCGCGCATTCTGCAATGGACCGAAACAATCGCACCAGCCGCGCGCGTTTATCAGCCCGGCTCAGAACAACCAAAATGAAAAATCTATGCGGCTGATAGCATGCAACATTCACACCATATCGATGAATAATACCGAGAACGAAGAGAAAATAAAACACACGAACAAAATACACACAACACTCAAAGATAAAAGATAAGGAGCAGAAAATAAAACGATATGGAGGTCAAGAATATGATTATATTTGTTGTAAGTACCGTGTACCCGGTACCAAAAACCCAGTGCGAATTATCCGCGAAGAAAACGAGAGTTTAATGGAAAAAAAGCACAATTGGTGTTTAATTTGTGTGTGAGTACACTAGCGCACACCACCACTACGCAGTGCACTCATATATTGAATCATGCAATCAAAACACATGGGTGTTGAATGTCATTCAACGCCACTAAGCTGTAGACATCTCTCTCCGGCTATACGGCAAACAACAGAACCAACACTGAACATGAAAATGACATGTTCCAATTGTGTTTGTTTCGTTAGTTTCAACTGTGCCGCTACGAGAGGTCACTTTTATCGTTTCTTGGTTAATCAATGGTATTAGACGAGGATGTCAAAACAAATGTGCATCGTTTGCACAGAAATTCAAACGAACTATAAAAGTTTTTGCCAGAAAAATGAGCGCGAGGGAAACTAGAAAATTTCAAATCAAGAGCAAACCGATGGACGATGCGTCCGATTTTTCCGTTCTTGTATCCAATCTGTTAAATAGTGGAAAATAAAGTGGAAAAAGAGAGAAAGAGACAGAAAATCGGAAAGAATCAGTTGAAATGTAAGAGAAAGAGTAGTTTTACTTGAAATTTTCAATGAAAATTTCAAAAAGTGAATGAAAATGCAAGGAACAGAGTAGAAAATCAGCAGAAAGTGAGACAGACTGTATGTCGGTGAGAAGCTCTGCCACATACATTGTTAGAAAAAGCGGAAAATAGTGACAAAGAATAAAAAAGATGAAAATTGGACCAAAAACAGCAAAAATTACAGAGAATTGCCCGAAAAACTGTCCGAAAAATTGCCCAAAAACTGAATGCAACAGAAGAATATCAAAAAGTGGAGAAAAATGACTAAACTAGCCTCAATGTGAACAATTGCAAGCATACCCCAAATTGCACAATGGTGGGGCGTAGCATCAGCAATAGCCACCGATTAGTCTCCATTAATTGTTGCAATTTTGCGAATAGTTTTGTTTTTTTTCTTTTCTCTTCAGCGTGGAACGTTTGTTGGGCCCGTATAGGAAAATGAGCATGAAATTGTATGCGTGTGGAATACCTTGGTTGCTTGGGAATTACGGTTAGATTTGCATGGGGCAGTTGCATATTCGGCGTGCAATCGAATGAAGACAAGATACAACAACAAAAGCAACAACAGCAGCACCGACGTAGAAAAAAATTATTACAAAGAATCGGCCAACGACGAAAAAAAGCAGAGTTTATGAGAGAGCGAGAGAAGCAAAATGTAAACCAAATGAAAGAAGAAAAAAAAAGGTTCAACATCGTTGTTTAAAGACTCTGTATGCGCTAAGAAGCGGTTATTACATGAAAAAATCTAATTCATGACACACCAACGAACAAAAAAAATTATTAAAATGGTCACACAGCGCATACACTGCATTCGGTGTACGTACGATTTTTCTTTTAAAAAAATCCAAACGACAACGAAAATTGTGGCAAAAATACACGACTTAATATGTGCACTCAAAGGTATAATTACCTTTGGGGCAATTAGGCAAAACGAATCGCGTAAATCGTTTTGCTTTTGTTGTTAGTTGGTTAAATTCATTTACTGTTTGGAATTGTTGCTCTCTTGGCTATGGATTGGCGATTTGCGCGACCAAAAAAAGCACCAACAACAACAGCCAACCGTCTCCGTAGTAGTCGTCGTCGTCGTCATCTACACTGGTTAAATTAATAAATGAGTGTAAAGCGCGCGCGCAGCGCGCCGAATTAAGGTTGATGTTTTAATTCGTTCAAATGAACCACACACTCACACAGCGCACCAACTAAAACCGAAATTGTCAAAATAAAGTGCGAGCTACGGTTTTAATTGATTCAAACGGAACATTCGCTACTGAACCATGAATCACCGTTAACATGCAAGAATTCATTGGTTTTCGCCGTTTCTTGTGTTGATTGTCACGTCGTCAACTTTCAAACGATGGCTTCACCTTTTTACATCTTTGTTTTGTTTGTTGCTGTTGTTGTTGTTGTTGTTTATCTTGGAATTGGTTGTTGGTCGTCAAGCTTTGAAACGGTGTTGTTTCTCGTTTATCTTCATCATGCCACGATATGATGAATGGAACGTGTTCCCGATTTTTTCGACTATTTAAAAATCAATGTCAACATACATTGCCCCGCGATGATACAGCATCAAGGTCATCAATGCCCCAGACGCAATATATTGCACGACAACGAAAATATTTGTGTCTTTTGTTTTGTTTGCATTGCGAAAAGTCATTTTCATTTCAAAATCAACTCAATGCTTCTCGGCTACCAATAATCTCTCTTTTTTGTTTATCTCTGTTTGGCTTTACTCTCGAAAAATCACAAATTATAATTATTCACACTGTGCGGCCACTTTTTTTTTATGAGTGCGCTACAAACGGGCCAGACTCAATGACGATTTTCGTCGTCGTCGTCGTCGTCGTCGTCGTCGTCGCTGCAACGATTTGCTCGTTAAAATCAACCATAAAACATAAATATTGACGCATAAAACATGGTTATAGATATTGAAACACAAATGAAATGAAACAAACCAACACAAAAAAAAAACATTGTATCGACACATAAAAAAAAGACTGAAAAAAACATGTTGCTGTAGAAAAAACCAGCCAGATAATGAAATCGATAAACATTTTATTTTTGGAAAATTGATCAACTTCGGTTATGCGATAACCGATAAAGTTCATAATAAAATTGATGATGTGTATGATGAAATTGCCTACTAAATAGGAACATTAATGAATTCTCAATAAAAAAAAATGTCTAAATAAATAAATAAATTATAATGAATTAATTAATTAGGCTTTGGAATCTTATCTCATCGTGATTTTAAGGAAATTAACTTATAAGTGATCAATTAAGATTCTTTTGTTGAGGTTAATGTCGAACACCGAAAATTTCCGATGGAGTCGGACCAAAAATTAATGATTGGGTCCCAAAAGTCCATTCTATCTAGTGTAAAATTGCTCTCAGAAATCTTTCGAAGAGTGAATTTTGATGAAAATCGATCACGTTGGGAGTCAAGAAAACTCTAGCTGCGGTTAGAATCAACCAGATCAGGCTGCATCAGAACCTATGATCAATGATCATTGTTCATACATGATAAAAAAAAATTTGAGAATTTCTTCCTTTTTCCCTTTTCTTCCCCTCAAAATTGCAACAAATATCGATTAATTCTGATTCAATTTGATAAACAACTCATCAATTTGTTTTACTCTCTATCTTCATTGCACAGGGTTTCTCATGCGTGGACTTGCAGAATGCTGGTATGCGTCAATCGGGCGTGTATTATTTGCAAATTCGTGGCACAACATATTGGTTTTTGAAAGTCTATTGCGAACAGGATATTGCTGATGGTGGTTGGACGGTAAGTAGTCATTCTGTCTTAAGTTTAGTATTTGTCATATGTCTTAAGTGTGTCGATTTTTCCATGGCTTTCGATTTGACAAATGCAAGAGCGTAAAATATTGATCTTCCACCAAAAAAAAAAACGATTGGTAAATGGTGCGAGCGAATGGAAACAACAAGAAAAAAAATCGACAACAACTGACTGAAATGTGCACATTAGCGACCACCTGAATTCAATGGTCAAATCGAACATTTGAGAACTTATTGAGAGCAATGACAAAATACCAATCGCTGAAAAAAAAAAACGACTGGAAGAAGAAAAAAGACCAAAACGAAGGAAAAAAAACTGCATACAGTACACAGTATAAGTGCAAAAGGAAAATCACATTAACTGTGCGATCTCGTACACACTTTTTTGTTTTGTGCGCCGCGATTTTTTTTGTGTGTGTCCAATATTCGGCGTTATAAACTTGCTGTGAGCGCACAGCACTAGTTTTCAGTAAATATATCGAATAAAAATGCAATAAATATTTTTCATCCATAAATACAAAAGCACAACAGCAATTGATTGCCGGCGTTGCCGTCGTCGTCGTCGTCGTTGCTCTCGGAACATATTGAGTCATGATCACTTCGATTAAATTATGCGTATTTCCTGCACTATTCGCATTGCACAGTTTGTCAATTGCGCGGCAGCACGCCGCAAATACTCTCTCAGCACAGTCAATTCACAGCAGCACCAACGGCGGCAGCGATCACTTGCCGCAAATCGAGAATCACCATCAAATTATGAGAAATCATTGAACTTATTATTACATTTGATAACCGTTGTGGATCCGGACAGTCGGCGAATAGATGTGCGTGCGCGCTCGCTCGCTCACTTGCGCTCATACACACGCACGCACATCATTTACACATTACATGTTCATTAGTTCGATTAAAGCCCGGTGATTTGCACATAAAGTATAAACTAACCAAACTTATGGATCGCTTGTTGGGCAATTGACACGGTAATATGGTCAATCGAAGCGGATGAATAAGTTATCTTTTGTGGATTGCAATTTTTCTGGGTTTTTTTTTTCTTCAAAAAACAACTCAGCAACGATGACGATGATGATTGAACATATTTTTTTTTGTCTGCTCTCAATGTACCCAATGACATCAGCTAATTAAGTCTCTTATCTCGTATTTTGTATTTACAATTTTTTCGTTCATTTCATCAAATACACAGGTAATTCAACGGCGTGACGACTTTGGTGAACCGCGCGAAAACTTCAATCGCGACTGGTCCGACTACAAAAATGGCTTCGGCGATCCGGCCAAGGAATTTTGGCTGGGCAACGAAAATATCTACATGCTCACCAACAACGAAGACTACTCGCTGCGAGTCGAACTTGAGGATTTCGAAGGCAATAAACGGTAAACCATTTTTTCCACCAAACAATCTTTTTGTCACACAAATCGTGAATTTTCAACTATTGACCGCTTTTGGGTGTTGTTCATTTCGTATGATTGCAGATATGCTCAATATTCACACTTCAAAATCTATTCGGAGGCCGATTACTATAAACTCGAAATTGACGGCTATGAAGGTAATGCTGGCGATTCATTGAACGATCCATGGTACGGTTCAAACAATAGCCCATTCTCAACATACAATCGAGACAATGATCGAAGCTCGTTGAATTGCGCCTCAATGCTTAAGGTAATATGCAATGATTTTGGAGTTTTTTCACTTTTGAAATGACGTTGTTACGTTACGAGGAGGAAAATGGATTTTTGGAACATGGAAAAATATCGTGTCATACGAAAAAAGATATGAAAAAAGTTGACAAACGGACTTTTCTTCAAAAATTTAACGTTTTTCTTTCCAAATCATTTTTCTTTTCTTTAAAACAAAATTCCTGCAAATTTTTTCTTTCAATTTTTTTTATTTTTTTCTCACATTTTTTGTTCTATTTCCATTAAAATTGTCTTTAAAATCAAATTCAACGAAAAACGTTCTAACCAAAAACAAATCTTCTTTTTCCCTTCCCCATGTTGTACAGGGTGGCTGGTGGTGGAAATCATGCGGCCGTGGTTTAAACGGTTTGTATTTGCACGATCCACAGGATTTGACCGCACGCCAGGGTATCGTTTGGTTCCGTTGGCGAGGCTGGGATTATACATTGAAAAAGGCGACCATGATGATACGGCCGAAAGGGCTTGGTTCGGCCACAGCGCCATTACCATCCACATCATCATCATCCGCCTCGCAACCAGCTGCATCATCTGCTTCTTCTTCATCTGGTTCTGCCAGTCAACAGTCATCCACAACAACAGGATTCGTATCAGCCGCGACATGAACTGTACGAATAAGTCTTTAGAACAAAACAACAAAACAACTACACACATACAAAACAAACAAACAAAACCCACACACACACACAAACACACACAAAAACATTCGATCCATTGATCCTACTGTAGTCTTCTTCACAATGGAAATGGACAAATTTTGTGGAATGCCACCACGTCACGGCATTCCGACTAAGTTTGCCGATTTCTGTTCTAAGTAATTTATGTAGCAAGAGCTCTACATCCCAATAAGTCCTATCCCTTTCAAGATGTGCTCGAATCCACGGACAAATTTCAACGCACAATTTGACCGAGGAATCACCAAAAACAACAACAACAACAACAACAACGAACAAAACCATACCTAGAAGCTATTTTTTTTGCTTATTATTCCGATTCTTATCTGAAACAAAATGAGAAATGAAAAAAATTACTATGACCTAGAACAAAACCACTATTTTATAAGTTAATTTAAAACAACAACAATTCTGAACGACATCAAAGCACCCGAATCATTTTCGATGCACTTTGCATGCTTTAAACTGCTGCATTATTTCTTTGTCTCAGCACAATTCCCTCTCTAATTGCTAACACTTTTGGAATACAACGGTGCCGCTATTTTCCTTCTTTTTACAAATTTCATTTAGTCCATGGCGCATCAGTTTCGGTTTTATTTTAAACGGATTTTTCGTTGTGTGATTTAACTGCATTTTTTATATGCACAAAGTCTTCCTTTAAGGTAGCCCATTTGCGGTGAATAACCAACCCATTTTTTCAATGATAGAACCTTCCCAATGAGAACTACCCAGAAAGTTTTTTTTAAAGAAATGAAAAAAAAATTCAAATGAAAATCTTCCTTCTTTTCGCTGTTCTTTAATGCCTATTAAGTCCCATGAAAAATCTTTTTTTCTACTAAATTTCTTCTTTCTTGAAAGACCCATTTTCCGATACAATTTTTTTCATTGATTTTATATGATTCAAGTCAATGAAACGTCTCAATCTCAGCTTGTTGAGTTTCCATGCTGAACATATATTCTCAACTGTCGTTGACTGTTTTAATCAAACTTTTTCCTTGAAATCCTATTCTGAATGAACTAAGTATCTAAGAATGATCAGTAGGTTGATTTTTCAAACCATATTTTCGACGGGTCACACACAAATCCACAAAAATACCGAATTGATCATCAAGCGCGTTCATTTGTATAATTTCAAAGGTATTGAATCGTTAATTTTTCATCTGATTAACATTGTCGTTTTGACAAGATCACTGAATTTTGACTATCAGAATTTAAAAATATCTTCAGAAAGATGGTAATGTCGCTTTTGCTAAACAAAACACAGTTTACCCATTTTCTACCGATCATTTGATCTTCCATACAAAATGTTCGATTTTTAGAACACTTGGTTGAAAATGAGTTCAAATCAATTTGTTCAAATCAAATTTGTTAAGTAAATGGGTTCGTTTAGCAATCGTCATCTTTAACAAATTTGATTGCTGAACCCATTTCCTACCAAATGTTCTAAAATCCGTGGAGAAAAAAAAATCGAAAAGAAATTCTTGCACCAAGAGAATTCGTTTTTATTGATAAAAATTACGTCTACGTTAACGAAACCCAGTTTTCCAGTAGTCCCATCGTATGAATAAATACCAAGATACTTGATAAGTACGTACCATTGAAGAATACGTACTTTTTTCAAACAATTTTGTAGATAAAATACACTCAGACTCACTTGAAATAAGGTTTTTGAAATTGTCCCATTGCGTATGCCCAATTGCGTTTTCATTTTCCCTATTACATATTCAAAAATCTGCACTTTTTGTTCATCTTTGATTGAATTTGATCCGTTCCAGTGAGGCTCTAGCCACCTGCTTGGTTATTTCAACGATTCGCAAAATTCATTCAATGTTTACGATGATCATTTTTAGCATGTCAAGCATTGATATTTTCCAGCCCGAAAAAATTCAAAATGAGCTCGAAAGCACAGTTTTCTACTTTTTCTCGATATCCACACCGTTACGATGGCATAACATGACATTGGCATATCAAAGTGCAAATAAACGGACCGAAGATTGACTTATCTAACTGGAGTAAAATTGATTAAACTATGAAATTCATGGGTTGTGCGCAATTGCCTCCCTCTATCCACCCGCTTTCTATCTCTCTTTTTCTCTCTTCCCCTTCTCGTGCAACAGACAAAATGTCACACACATCGAAGCAAATAAAAAGCAACAACAACAACAACACGAACCGATTACGAAATTTGCCTACTTTGTACTCATTCATGTCATGTAAATTATTTTATTCATTACTATTCATTAGGAAAAAAAAAAAATTAGATTTAAAAAAAGCAAGCGACAAGAATCAGATGAAATGAGCATAAACAAGTTGAAGAAATAAAAAAAAACGCAACATTTAAATAGGTTTATTTTTAGTAAATGTATAAAAAAAACAACAAAACAGAGGAAAAATGTAATAAAATTTAAATAAAAAACAACAACAACAGACCGCCGTGCATCCATTGCTCGGTTTTTTTTGTTGGTATTTGTCTCTTTGTTATGTCATCTGATCGCATTCATTGCGTTTGGATGTAATTTCCACACAGCGGGTGCTTTTCTATTGAAGACGAAAGTGCGTGCACTCGTGCAATAACTTTCGATTCGGAAGCTGAACGCGAAAAATTGAAAAATAAATGGCCAACATCAACGGTACATTTTCTTAAATTTTTCGTTTCCTTTCAAATAGAAACAAAAGCCAACCAGACAGCCACATAAGATAAATCATGTGCATTTGTTCGAATGTTATTGTCCGAATGCGCACTAGTTGCTTGAACATTCCAGACACAAGGTCACGCGAAGCCGACAAATTGCTGAAGTGAAGTGCGCCTGAGAAAACCGAAAGACGACGACAAACAACAGCAGCAACAGCAGCAGCAACAAGCACAGCTCCAAAAATGCATTCGGCTACAAATTTATTGTCCCTTTTAGCAAGAAACAGAGAATCGAGAGGTGCGCTAACGAATGCGATTGCGTGAAAACGTTAATTTAGAAGTCGTTTCGCCACTTTGCCAAAAATGATGAAAACCAGTAAATTGTTAAGGAGAAGAAAAAAAAACACACACACTTCGCAAAATATGTGCAAAAAAAAAAAAACAAAACAAAAAAACAAAACTTTATACACACTTCAATCCTGGGGCTCTGGCGAATCGACTTGCATTTTTCGGAGTTACGGCAAAAATGCACTGTTTTTCTCGAGATGCACGAACAAAATTGAATTTAATTAATTGGATACCGTTTGAAAATGGGCATGGGCCAAGTAGGCAGTCAGAGGAATATAGACTCGACGTCGACTCAACTCAAAGCATAAGAGAATGACCACTTTAGACACGCTGCATAAATTTTCTGCTCTCTTTTTCTCATAATCTCTCTTGCACTTCTGATTCGATTTTCGAAACTTCTTTTTTGATTCCACAAAGAAAGCAAAAACCCAATGAGTTACATATCTATTCGATGAGCGTGTTTATTACTCAACCAATTCCTTTTTCAAATCGGCAACAAGCTGGAATCGCTTAATCTAATTTTCAAACGGTAGTCCAAAACGACGTACGCACGCGTGCTGCACAGACACATACTTGTTGACTTTTTAATGAATGTAAACCATTTCACATTCTCAATTAAAATTTTTTTCGCTTAAAACGACCAATGGAATTGTATGATGTTTTAATAAATTATGCGAGTGTGTTGTTTTTTTTTTTTGTTCGTATTTATCTCACATTCTTTGTTGTTGTTTTTTTTTGAACGTTAATTCAACGGACTTCGCACTGCGACTCACATACCAGACTTACTGAACAAGAACACCCAAAAATGGTAAGTACTTTGGTAGTCAAAGACTTTATGTTGCCACTATGGTATATGACCATTTCAGCATTTTCAATGGAGAACACCCCAAAAAAAAACAGTGCGCTTGAACGTTTTCGAAAAACGAAAATATGCCTTAGGTCGATTTAGAGGTGAGTTTTATGTTACAAAATATCGCTGATAACATTTGATGCTGTCGTTTTTACAATCGAAGGAATTTTCGTCCATTTACCGGAACAAATTAACATATTTCTATGTCTGAATCGGTGCTTGCTCGATTCACAGAGGGAAGCTTACCTTTTGAGCGGAGAATGTTTGAAACAAAAAAAAAGTTAATTTTAAAAAAAATTAGAAATATGAAAAGATGAATAGTAATTCACAGACTTATAATTCTCAGCTAGTACTTTTAAGCCGCTTTCGCTTAAAGATGAACCTCCCAAAAATGCACCTCGAATACAAATCCATTGAAAAAAAAATTATTAATAATAATTATCACTTTGAAAGAAAAAAAAACAATGCTCTATAATAGAAAATCATGTGGAAAATAAAGTCCAATAAAAAGAAATGAAACAGCAATTGGTTTTAATTTTAAATCACTTTAATTCAACAGTTTTGTTCATCATCTTGAAACTCGTCGGTCATCGGGTTTCGTTTACATTCGTTCAATCTAAACATGCCTACTCTGTTTGTATTTGTTGTTGTTGTTCTTGTTGAAACGCTACGTAAGACAGTTATTACAAATTATTCTATAAAACGAACTATTCTCATTTAAATTGTAATATTTTGTTTGCTCCTCCTATCATATCCACATATCATCATTTTGTTGTTATTTTTATCATTTTTTGTTCCATTTTCTTCTAAATGTCTAATTCGTAAATGATCAGTCACAAAAGGTGAGATGTTTCTTTTTTTTAATGCGTTACGTGTGTTCGTGTGTGATGTGATAAAATCATAGAATCCAATTGTTATTTTGTAGTTGTCCATCATCGTGTCTAAGTATAGAGTAGTGGTAAAGCCGTAACTCGTTTTGAATAAAGTTGTTTGCTGTTTGTTGTGCACTTAATTTCTAGAAAATGTCTAATCGACCCACAAAAATCAATCGTTTCCCGTGTGTAAGTGATTTTTTTTACGTAATATGATCCTTTTTTTTGCCAGGCTAAGGATACGACCGCTTCATTTCGAAGCGAATAAAATAATGCCAATTTTGTGCATTTTGTCTTTTTTTTTATTGTATAATTTATTGCTTGGTTCAATCGAACACAAAATTTGAATTAAAAATAGAGACAAATAAAAGCAATTCCATTCATTGAACGGGTGTGAACATTTTGAGCGCTTCTTTTAATGATACAAAAACAATACATGAAAATCGACATTGATGCGTTCACAAAAAAAAACGACAATTGATGCGTTTGCAAGACGAAAGAAAAATAAACGAATGAATGGAAAGGGAAGCGTGTGTGGTGGCCGAAATAAAAAGCGTCAAGAATTTCGGAGAGTGCGAAGCTCATTCTTTATCCAGCCATTTTGATGGATTTAATCTCATAAAAACACATCTATTATACACATTATGTTCTGTCATTTAGATATCTACCATGTTTTTTTTCTCTTCTTTCGTCTAAATACTCAATACTTGTTCGCTTGTATTGGGTCATTTTGTTTGGAATATACGGTTTGTTTTTGTTGCTTTCTATCAGTTATAGAGTATTAAATTTGTGTTTGTGTGTGCAATCACATCGGTATTGAATTGCTAAATGCTCATTCAGTTGTGAGTGTGTGTGTGCTAGTTCAAATTTGAGTAAGGGAATAATACACAAAATAAAATGCCGTGATTCTTGCATATTTGTTCTGCTTTACATGCTAAAGGAAAGGTTTGGTTAAGGGAAACAACACTCTCTATTCGTGTGAAATATGTGAAAATAATGACCCCTAAATGAAAAGTATGAGCGACAGATGAATCATTCTTTGATGCAAATGAAAACAGTTCTCTGGTTTTCTTCTCGTTTTTTCTCTTTGTTTTGATGAGAGTCTAAATCGGATCACAAGATTCAATAATAAGTTTTTTTTTTGTTTTTTATAGTACGTTATATTAAAATTGAATGTTGATAATAATTCATTTTTTTTTGTTTGTTTGTTTTGTTTTGTTTTTATCATCTTCATTTTGGAATATTGGATAAAAATTCTACAATTTCATCAACTATTTTTTTACGAAATGCACGTCTCGATCACCCAGCTCATCGCGGATTTCTGTGTATGTGTGTTTTTTCGTCGTTTTCTTCTTCGTTTTGATTAAGCCATATATTGCAACATGCAAGTTAATTCAACCGATATGCCACAGTGTAGTAGCTACACTTTAAGCTCCACATCGTTTTTACTATCTCGTTTTGTTATATTTAGATTGAGTTTTAGTCAATAAATGCCTTAGTTTTCATCGGTTATTACGTTTCGATTGAGAATCTCTGTTTTGCAAGCTTCAAATCGAAGCCTTCGATCTGTCGCATTTAAACTTGAAGCCTGGAACCCGTGTCGAACGTCAAAATTCGTATCGAATTCACTCGAAATCCAATTATGAAACTCCAAAGAAATTTTTTCAATTGGATTATTTCGAATTCCTCGAAATTTCAAGTTCAAATCCCAATGAGAATTTGGAATTGAACTAAACTTGAATTTGGAAGCGTGAAAATTTCAATTCGAACCCATTTCCTAGTATTTACCAGATTTTACGAACTCGACCATTTCGAATGGGAAATCAAATGTTCGATAGCAAATGGGTTAAGCTTGGATTTTAAGCATAAATCTCAACTTTCACCACTCGCCTCTGCTGTCGCCGGCTCTGTTTTTAAGCCTAAAATTCCAAGTTAATTCAAATTTAAATTTCACGCTCCAAGTTCATCCCGAGTGGGCTTCACATTCTTTTGAAAATACCAGATTTTCGAAATTTGGAAGCAATTATTTTAAACACATATGTCGCTTATTCAAGAAAGTCTATGTGGCTCACTCTGGAGAAGTGCAAACGTTCGATTCAAAATCGAAGTTTCAAGCTTAAATTAGCGACTGTTACAATTCAAAAATCGACTCGATTTTTCTTCATATTAAATTTGCTTCGTATTTGGTTTGGCAAATGTTACGTGAATTCAGAGCTCGCTGAATACCGTGCTTGTGTCTGTGTGTGTGCGTGTGAATGAGTGTGTACGATTATGTTGTGTGAACGATTGAGACGGCATTGCATCGATATTGAAATGTCACTACACAAAATGCTACGAAGTTGCTGCACAGGAAGCTAAATTTGATTCGGATTGGCTAACGTCACTGATTGATAATTCTTTGTTGTTCGATCTCGTTGTTGTGGTTGATGTGTTTGTTGTTGCTACCGCAACGGCTGCCGTTGTTGTTTTCGTAATGGTGGTGGTTGGTGTTGCGACTATGATCGCAGCAGCAGCGATGGCCGGCATTGCTGTATTTGATTCAGTCGAGCCGGCATTCGATGTGTTGTTGCATTGCTGTGGTGGCGGTCTGGGCAATCGACGTCGAAACCATGAATGTTTCAATGCAGCCGCCGGTGTCATACGAAATTCGGGATCCCATTCAAGGCAACCGCATAAAAAGTTCATGAACAAAGGATCATCGCATCCTTTCAGTGCTTTTCGTAAACTTTTCGAACCGGGCGGTCCACGTTCTTTGCCTTGACGCGATGTGCCCGCACCCAAAATCACACGACCATCGTCGAGCGTCTCAACGGAACAGTACCGCGGATAACCCTTGGCCGAGAAGAAATTTTTCGTTCGTTTCGATTGGTCCAGCAATTTTTGTGGTGGCATACCCAACAGTTCAATGATCGTTGCCAATTGATCGTTCTCATCTTCGCCCGGGAATAATGCGTATCCCGTCAGTAATTCAGCTAATATACAGCCTAAACTCCACATATCGATGGGCATTCCGTATTTACCGCCGAGTATTACCTCGGGCGCTCGATAAAAACGCGACTGTATATAAGTATAGACGCGTTGATTCTCATAGCATGACGATCCGAAGTCGATCACCTGTAGAGAAAAGATGGAATTGGATGAATACATGTCACCAGAATTGGAATTGAACTCAAAAATGTCGCTAATTTAAACCATTTTTGTCCAAAAAAGTCGATATATGAAGAATTTGAAAGAACTTCTTGTCTTGCTGTATCTAATTAACACTCACCTTGATGCCAGATCGGCCTTGTTGCTTCAGCAAAACATTTTCCGGCTTCATAACGCAATCGATGAAAGAAAGAAAAACAATGAAATTAGAATCAATCAAAATGCTCAAATTTAGCTTTAAAAAAAAACAATGAACCCACTCAATCGACCTACCTTCATATCACAATGAATAATTTTATTTTTAGCTAACGCATCCAAGCATTGCAGCAGCGAATGTGCGAATTTTCGTACTAATTGTAAACTAAACCCTTGAAATTTATTCTTTTTGATTAATTCATATAAATTGATGTAGAGCAGCTCGAACGTGATGCACATATGATTACGAAATGTGAAATAATCATACATATGAATAATATTCATTGAATTATCCTTATCGTGTTTACGCAAATGCGATAAAATGCGAATCTCCTCTTGTGCCTGGCGATGAAATCGCTTTTCGTTGCGTACCATTTTCAGGGCCACATGCTCGTGCGTTTTGTGATCGTAGGCCTTAACCACCTGGCCAAATGATCCCTTGCCTATGATTTTCAACACTTCGTAGCGATAGGCAATGTGATCGTGCGGTGTATGGATGTATGAACCTTGCTCGTTGTCATAGTCGGAATTGTTTGGTCCAACAATTCCCGGTCGCTTTTTTGCATTCGCACCAATAAAGTAGATTTGCGGATACTTGAATATTTCATGGTGTTCGTATGGCGTTAGTCGATTCATATACAATATCATCACTTGTGTTGGCGACGCAACCAATGGTTTTGGCTTTTCATCACTGATACCTGTTTTACGGATTGGGTGAATTACGAAAAAAAAAACGTTTAAAAAATGGGCAAAATTCGAAAATTGAAGAGAAATGTAATGGCTTTGAATGGAAAAGTCATGGTTTATAGGACAAAATGAACATTTTGTGACAGAATTTCTGCATGAAGCTCAACAAATTCTTCTGAATTAGACAGCTCAACAACTACATAGAAAAAACTGAACTTTTTTCCAAACTAATGTTTCAAAGATAGGCATTTTTCAAAAATATCTAGCAGGAAGTGGATTTTTTCTGAAAATTTGCCATTATTTTTCCAAAAATTTGGAATTTTTCAATTTTGGATTAGTTTTGAGTCAATTTTGACCTATTAGGCAATTTTGAAGGATTTAAATCGAAAATGTTGAAAGATTTGAAAGAGAATTCCATATCGAAGCTTCGATCAATGCCTATTTTCCGAAAATTCTCAAAGAAAAATCCAAATTTGTCCAAAAATGCTCAAAGAACAATTCCCTCAAATTCAAATTCCAAATTAAAATGAAATCAAATTTATTGTAAACGACTCGTTCCGAACGAGTGAGTTTAATCTAACAAATCATCATGATCTTACATTTCATTTGGCTTGATGTGATGATGCTGCGATGGCTCTGTTGCAAAGCCGATGTGATGTTGCTATTGGTGTTGTTTAAACTAATGGGTGTCGGTGATACAAGTGATGAGGCTTGCGTTGTTATGTTTGCTTTTGATGTTTTCGTTTGCTCTTGTGCACTGGAAGTTGATGTGGTTGTGGTGGTGGTGGTGCCCACCGCCGATGCAGTCATCGTTGTTTCTGCCACTGTTGTTGCTGCAGTCCTGTTGGCGAATCGACCAAAAAAAAAAAACAAAATTAAATAATGAATAACTATCGCTTGATGAATTTGAAAATATTAGACGCATTGATTCAGTCTCAAGTCAGACCGAATAACGAGCGTGCATTCAAGAAGAATAATCGATAATTTGCTTCTTGATGAGAAAAATGTCAATAGAAATAAAAACTCAATGAAACTCCAGTGGAAAAGACGATAAAAACAAGTGATTATAACTCTAAATCAATGAATTACCATTTGGTTGGTGCTTCTTTTGGCTGTTGCAGTGATTGTGGCTGCTGAAGTGGCTGATGGCCTTGATTGTTAGTGATGGATGAATTCAACGCGGTTTCTGTGCCTAATACGAATGGTAAATATTGTTGTGGAAGCTTTTGTTGTTCAGATTTTGCACTGCCAACCATTTTATTTATTACAGCCCAATGTTGCAAGATGTACTTGAGTTAGATAGATAGAGAGAGATGAGACGCTGCGCGAAACGTGAAGCAGATTTCTTCTTCGTCGTTTGCTTATGATTTCTTCGTTTTATGGTATGTGGGTTGCTATCTGTGTGTGGGTTTTCTCTCCGTTTTTTTTTTAATTCCTTACGTTTACGATTACAATTGTTTATAATTTGTTGTTGTTGTTGTGTGTGTGTGTGTTGATTTTGTTTGTTTAGATTAGGTAATGATGTTACATTTAATGGCTATCGAGATCAATAAATCAATCGAACTATTTCGAAAATCGTCATGTGTGTTGTGTCGCCTTAGATTGCGATAAAAATGCTCTGTTGCGAGAACTGAAAAGTAAACAGATAAAAAAAGAATGGAAACATAATCAGTTATCAATTGAAATGCAATTGTGAAATGAAAGGAAAAAACAAAAAAAATTCAAAGACGTAAATACGTACGAAATGCGTATGGTTCTTCGACCGGTTGTGGATTTCTTCTGGCTTCTTTGTATTCATGTGAAATAGTTGTTATCGGCGGCGTCGTCGTCGTCGTCGAAGTCGTAGTCGTCGTCGTCGTCGTTTTTCCGATCATTCAATCAAATTGAATCTGTTCTGTCACATTCTGGTTAATTTGTTGTTATTGTTCTGTGTCTGTCGATGCGGGTTTGCCTATTGTTTTGCGTTATTGTTGTTTTTTTTTTATAAACTCGAACCGAAAACAGACGGCGGAAAACAAACCCAAGAATGGAAAAATGAACGCAAAACCCAAACAAAAAAAAACAAAAAAAATCGCAATCGACTGCGATGGATTCTGTTTATCGATTAATTGATTATGTACACTCCGGTTGTGTGTCAATTGGAATCACTGCAGTTGGTAGTGGTTCCAGAGAGCGAGACAGAGAAATGAAGAAGAAACGAGAAAAAAATAAACGAAAGAGAAAAAAAAAATCAACCGAAAAAACACAAGTGGTGCAACAGCAACACTCTCACTCGCGCGCACGATCTCTTTGCGTGGGCCTATAGCTGTCGAATGTGTGGCATCACACCATCCTCGATTTATTTCGCCAAAATTCCACACACAAATGCATTCTGAACCTATTGGAAGAAGGGAATAAAAAAGAAATCGAATGAAATTACTGCGAACAATTTCACAAAATGTTATAAATTTTGTCGCACACACTGACACAATACACACAATTGTTTTTTTTTTTCGCTCGAAAAGTGGATTAAAAATTCAGATCTCTCTTTGTCTTCTTTTCGAAAGTTCAACTTCAGAAATCACAATATTTTTTTTTTTTTTATATATAATTAAAACGAATGACATTTTTGTTCATCCAAGTGAAATGTGTGTTTTGGTCATGCTTCGGTTGACTCGTCATTTCACCGCGAAACCGATTTGAAAACGTGCAATTTGTCAGTTCAATTGTTCACTGCTGAAACCTTCACGAAGTCGAACGACAAAAACCAAAAATAAAAAATCGGCACAATGTTATTTTCTTGAGTTAAAAAATTGTGATTGCGGTGGCGATGGCGGCGGCGGCATTCGGCCGCTGAAGGAAAAAGAAAACCATTATGACCGGAATTGGCCATGAGCTTAGTGACTAATGGATTTGGCTGTTGTTTTTGAATGTCATTTTCCGCAAAATGTGATACTCTCCTATAGAGAGTATATGGGAATAGATATACTCGTTTATTTGGGCCTGCCAACAGAGAGACACTTTCATGCCGATTTATTGATTTTGCATAAATTGCCCGCAAAATTTGTCACACATACTCATTGCATGACACAAAGAGAGAGAGAGAGAGAGACAGCCAAGCTAGAAATACCATCGAGAATCGGTCATTTAATGTCACCAATGTCATTGCAAAACTAAAACGACCGTGTACAACAACAAAAATAACGGCGGTAACAGCAAAAACAAGAGCTACTGTAACAGCACCAAAAAAAAAACCAACAACCAACGGAAGAAAAAAAACCCAAGTGCACATTGCACTTGTTCGCGAAAATTGGACGCAGCGCGCGCAAAACACATAAATATATTGTCTCCCTGAAAAACACTTGACACACAATCAAATTGAAATAGTTACACAAGCACACGCACACAGACACAGACTCAGTAGTTGCAATTGCACACCCCTGGAATGAGCCAAAACAAGTGTTTCAGCAACGTGGAACACACGCATGCAAACGTGCATTTTGGGAGGTGGAGGTGGGTGAATTCTAATAATTTTCGCTAAGAATGTACCATTGTTTTGGCTAGTGCGAAAGGCACTCACACAGACACAATGCTGATTTTTACATCAAGATAAACTCGCAATCAACGAAATTAAAAATTCATTAGACGAATTACGTCGCTGTAAAATGTTGAATTGGTTGCCGTTTGCCAGCAACTAAACTGAGCGTTGCCAATTAGATCTGATTTCCGCATGAACTATATAACCCAGAATTTCCAAAAACCAACATTTCACATTTGTTGTTTGTTTTCGGGTTCCACTTTTAAATCTTGCACTCATTCACTCACTCGATCTCTACCACGGTCTCTTTTTCTCTCTTACGGTGTTTCGTTCTCTTTCTCTCGGTGTTTTTTTTTCTCGGTTTCTTCTTCGAATCTGTTTTTGTCGTTTTCTTGCTATTTACGGATTTATTCGTTCAGCTCTCATTCATTAAGCAAGGCAAAAAAGTATCGTTGCGAACAGTGCAAACAGCGCAAAGAAAACAATAACCCCGAAATAATTTGGCAGTGAAATTTTGCAACCTCCTTTGGCAACAGTTCGTTTGCCAGTAGAGAGAGAGAGAGAGAGAGAGAGAGAGAGAGTGAGTGAGTGTGTATAGAGATAAAAGAGTGCAAAATGCATTGGAATAGTTTATAGGAATGTGTGTAGCTGCGAATGAGAATGATGATAAAGAAGAATGTGATCCGTTCTCCCTCTCTCTGATTCATTCAGAACCGAATGTTCTCTCCGACCAAATAGAGTCTCTATTTCGACGAGTAAGAAGAACGAATTGATTCGTTAGCTCGTTAAAAACAAAGCCATTCGATCGTTAAAGTAGTCGCAAGTGAACCATAAAAACGATGCAGGGCAGACGACGACGATCTCTTTCTCTTCTCATTTTTTTTTTCTTTTCTCTTGTTTTGATAGTGTTTCCTGAGAGTCAGTCACAGCAAAAGAAAAATGAAAACAAACAAAACTGTCGACGACGGAATAGTTGGGCCGAAACGCATAGGCCTCTCCAAAAAGAAAAACACACAGAACAAAATCAACAATAACAGCTCATAGAATGAAATGTTTAATTGTTATTATGCAGAGTAGACGATTCATTGGATCTATGCTTCAGCATGCGTGAGCCGTGGAAGAGAGAGGGAGAGACAGAAGGCGAAAGAAGAGAAAAAAAATGAAAGAAAAAAGAAGAACGTTGGTAGTTTATTGACTTTTCATTTCACAATTGGGAGCGAGATAATTGAAGCGAACATAAATGTGTACGGAACATATGCATGTGTGTATGTGTGTGTGTGTGAGTGAGTGTGTGAGCCGCGCGCGATACCAATGTATATTTTGGATTTATGAGTCTCTCTCTCTCTCGGTGTGTATTTGTATATGTATGCATACACAGCGAGAAGTGAGCTGATTGTATTGGTGCAAGAGAACGAATCATACACGACAATGGGCTGCTGACACACAATAACGCACTTGAGTCGCTCGCTTTTTCCTTCCTTTCTCTCTATGGATACAAAAACATATATATTATATTTCGCTGCCGTTCGTTTTTTTTTCTCGCTGCCTCTAATATGCATGAATTTGTATTAATATCGACGATGAGAGCGAGAAAAAGCAACAACAACATGGCACTTGACTCATGTACAGTGTAAATTGTGCAAAACGAGGATTTGATACGGAAGGAGCTAGTTGTAGCTAGCAGCAGCAGCAGCAGCGAATAAAAAAAAATTATATGACTTGTTTGCTGCCCAATAGACTTTCCGTCCCTTCTTGTCGAATGTTTTTGCTTTGTTCTCTCGCCATGCTATGGGATGCATGCATACACTCTTTTTTCTTGCCACACGAAACACTCATTTGCAAAACAACAACAACACACACATTCATGCTATCCCACTTATATGGTCCTGGGCGATAAAACTGCAACCTTTTTCTCTCTCGCTCTTTCGCACTCCGTTTTTTTTTGCATCATTTTCGTCGGGCTTATCGGTTTGACTTCATGAGAATTAGATATAATCATCTTGGACATTCTAATGTTGACACATCAAAACCACTCTCGTTAAACACATACACCACGATCCCACGAACCTTATTTTCGACTATCACGCACTCCGCAACCACAATGTTCAATCACATTTCATGTGCCAAGTAGGTTTTATTTTTGCGAGAAAAAAAAATTCATCACTATTACAGTGCCAATGAGAAGGCTTTTGCACCAGTTTTTTTTTTGGCGGATAAATTGACAGAGTAAATGGCTCATTTTTCAGAGTAAATTGCCCGTTTCTGTAGGCAGATTCATCATTTCTTGGACTAAATCACAATTTCTTACATTCAATCACCAATTTTTTTGAAAAACAATGCAAATTTCTTTAAATCTCATTAGATTTTCGATGAAATTTTGCACAAAAATCATGAACAAGACACTTTTATGCATTAAACACGAGTATTTTTGTGCAGATCTCTTATAGTTATGGTTGAATCGTGCTGTTTTCGGAAAGTTGTTCTGCTGTTTTGGTACATTTTTCGCTATTTTTGGTTATCGATTTGCCTTTTTTGGCCAAAAATTTATTATTTTCAGCCGAAAATTGACCATGTTCGATCAAAATTGGCCATTTTTGGCCAAAAATTTCCTATTTTAGTCGGTTTTTCGGTGCTCTTGGCCTTAATTTTTAATATTTTTGCACAATTGTTTTTGTTTTTCTCAATCAAAGTGCAAGGTTTGGTACTTCCAAATGGGTATTATTGCCCAGAAACTCTGCCTTTTCCCACAATTGTCGGTAATTTCTCTCGAAAATTCTCAAAATCAACCGTGAAATTGGTCGAATTCTTCAAAAGTAGCCACAAACATTTTGCCATTGCATCTGAAACCTCAGCATTTCACATAATAAAAATATTTCGTTCAACCACTTCATTCACTCAGCGCATTTTTCGGTTGCGTTGAATTGACAAAAATGGTCACAATTTGCCCACGAAATCACCACTCACAAAACGGTCCAAAAATACACACTTGGCCACCGTTGTTTTATCACAAAAAGCACATCTATCGCAATGAACTTTGACAAAATCGCACGCACCGAGGAAATCGTCGAATAACCAAAACACATCATCAACACGAGTCCATTGAATTAAATTTGGCTGGTTCGTATCGACAGAAAAAAAAACTGTGTGTGTTATGATTTAAATGGCACAAATGCAGATGAGAAATTAGAAATAAAAACGTACACTTTTAATTATTATTATCCTACACAGTATGCAATGGATAGAGAATCTATTTAGTTCGTTGTTGTGCTGATATATATTAATTTCTTGTCGCGACGTCGTTATTTTTCGTTATTTCTTATTCTCTCTCTCTCTCTCTCTCTCTCTCTCTCTCTCACGGTTCAGAAATCTGTTCGAAGTTTCGGTGTGATTCCGTTTTCTTTCTGTATGCTCCAGTCCTTTTTTTCACTTTAGCTAGTACTTTTTTTCCTTTGCTTTGTGTTTTCTCTATGTTTTCGCGTTGTGTTGAACGACGACGATGAGAGAGGTTTTTGGTATTGGTTTTAATATCTTCTTCTTCTGTATGTTCGTTTTTGGTGTGCCAAATTCGTTCTTTTTTTATTTATTTCGTTTTTTTTTTCCTTCTGTACATACAAATGAAGTGTATTAAACCCAAATACGAACGAAAGAACTGACTGTGCCTCTATTCTATTCTTCTCGCCAGTGCGCGAGCAACACCAAAATCCATTCGTCTATGAGTGATTTTTTGTGTTGACTTTTTTTGCCGTTCCGTCTCACACTCTCTCTCCCTCTCTCGCTCGCTGTGCTCATGTGTGCGTGCGTGTTTCGATGTGCATTTGTGGTGGTGTATGTGTGCGTATGTCGATGTAATATGTGATATGTTTTCTGGTGGTGCCAGTGATGATGGCGGCATGGAACTCTATATGTATACGATTTAATTTTGATCTGTATATTTTTCCGTGGTGTTGACGTATGAGTGAATACGTTCAGGTTTCGTTTCTTTTTCGTCTCTCTTTTTAAATGAATCGCATTGTCACACAAACATACCCACATCTTTGTGCACCAATGTTTTGTTCAATTCGATTGCGTCCAATCAGATGCATTAAGTGCGGGTTAATCAAAAAGGGTTTTTTTCTTCTTCTTTTTTTCTTGACAACAATTCAATGGATCATTTACTCAATTTGTATCAGCTTTTGTTTGATTTTCACACAATTGACAGCGATCTCTTCTTTTTCTCGGTTGGTGTGAATGTATTTTGTTTCCATCATATGTACATATATATGTGTGAATATCATAACACTTTTGACAACTGCAGCTCAATTTACTTGCGTTGGAGTCGCTCTCTCACTCTCTAACACACACACACACACACACTTATTCACCTGTATGGAGACACGCAATTCCAGTTGCACCACAACCAAAAGTCGTATCGATTGTTGATTTCAATAGCCTCTCACATGCACAATCACACTCAAACACACACCCAAACCACTCACCTCTTAGCTCGTCATCAACCAACAAACTGGTTCTTTCGCCTCTGTTGTTGTTGTGTGTTTCATTTTTAGTTCTGCGTTTGCTTCTTCTTCTGTCTTTTAAATACCCACTATGCACTTTGGGATCATCCACTTCTCGTCGAGAGATAGAAAAAAAAACCTGACTCAAGAGAGAAAAAGAAGGTGCACCGCATTCAATACCAACACCAATCGACGGTGGACTGCACTGTGTATGCACCAAAGAAGAAAAGAAAAACACACAGTAAAAGGATCAAATTTCCATAACGTCTACCAACGTTTGACGCACGACACATTATTTGAATGCAGAAACCAGAAATAAACTCGACATTTGATTTGAATATTCATGCATTTCAATGCAATGTGGCGAATGAAGAAAATGAATGACACAATGTTTTCATTGAGGTTTTTTTCTATTTGAATGGTTTGGGGCGAAAATGTAATACAGAAAAGTTGAGCGGAAAAATGTCAAATGAAAATGGATAGCTATATAGTCAGGGAGTGTAACTCCGAGGAGGAGGCATGGTGAGGAGGTGAATGAGGAGGAGGAGAGCGCTGAGGAGGATCCTCCTCCTCACATGAGGAGGAAATAAAAATTACCAAAATTGAGGCATATAAATTTATTTTAAACACTTTTATTGATTTGGAACGAATGCCAACGATGAAAAAACTACAATCAAAATCAAGTGAGGACGAAGAACCTCCTCGGCGCTCTCCTCCTCCTCATTCACTTCCTCACCATTACTCGGAGTTACACTCCCTGTATATAGTTCACTATAGTTTACTATACAGTTTACTATATGGCTATCCCTTTTCCGCTTATTCATCATCGACATTTTTCCGCTCAACTTTTCTGTATTACATTTTCGCTCCAAACCATTCATTTAACACAAATTTGAATGCATTTTTCTCCTCATTCAATGCTGTGCAGTCTTTTCGAGCATGCACTTTTTTTTTATAAAGGAAAGTAAATGAATTCTGAATGATGGATAAAAATTGAAGGAAAAATGTTTTGAAAAAACGTTTTTCAAATTGAATTGAGAATAAAGTCCAAAATGAAGAAATCAACTCACATTTGACCTAATAATATGTGGAGAACCCTACTAGAACCGGACTTTAAACGAAACAGATTTCGAATTTATCTGTCATATCTTGGAAAAAGCATATTTTTGGAACCAACAAATCAGACTTTGAACAGCCGCATTTCAAATTGAACTGCAATTCAAATTTTATATTTAGAATCATATTTTTTACACATGAAATCCGGTTTTATATACTCACAAATGCAGAACTTGACCACGAAATTGAACGCTTGAAATTTTCCACTTGAAATATGTAATTTTGTCATTTTGGAATGAACAAGTATTTGAACAATTTTGATAATTTTGTGAAATGTTTCAGAAATTCAGAAAAAAAACGAAGAAAAATTGATGACGATTTTGTTTTGAAGAATGTAACATTGAAACTTCTGCCAAATTTTTCATGATATTGGTGACAAATTCTGTGCGAAATTCTAGGTCAGATTTTCAACACATTGGCCCAGCATATGAACAACTTGGAGATATTTTCTAATCGAAGAAATGCCTGTAATTTTGGTTTCCTTGAAGAAACAACATAAATATTGGTTAAAAAATTGACAATAAAAATGAAATGCTTACCACTTGAAATTCATCGATCTTCATAAAATACTTTCTTCCCTGAAATTTCTGAGAATTTATTCCACAACAATTTATTATTACTTGAATTTTTTAAAATTGATTTTGGATTTAACGGCTTGAATTTTCATTTAAATTTCGTGGCATTCCAAATTGATTGAAGGCTAGTGTCGAATCTTGAAGCTCTGTCGCTCAGTGCAAAATCCGTCTTTGGTTGCAGCGTCGAATATTCAATTTCTCTCTTCAGCCTTGTACCGCCCTGTGCCGATGCATGCCTTTTGTATACCCAGATAATGATCCCGCCAAAATTTGACCGAAATTCAGCCAAGATTCGACTTTATTGAAGATGTTGAAGGCCATTTCGAAATCATCTGTGTGTATTTAATTAATTTGAAATTGCAGTCATCATTGAATCATTTTCAAGTCATAAATTCAAACCAGTTCAAAACAAAAAACAAATTGACAATGTATCGAAAATGAAAATTTTGTTCAGCATAGATACCAAAAGGCACTCTGAAAAACCTTAGAATCAATAAATCCACTAATCAGTTTAATTCAATCAATTAAATCCATTGAAATAAGTTTCGTCAAAAATATTCTTTATTGTTTTACCGAATGGGAGATATTTCTAAACGTTTTTCACAAAAAACAAATTAGAAGATGTCATATTTCACATAAACAGGTCGAATTTCGACTGCAATTATGGGCGTCGAAATGAAAACAAGTGAATATTATTACAAATATATTAAACTTATCTCGGCGAACACGGAAGATAATAAATTGGATTTTGAATTTTGAACATAATACTTTTTAATCTCAACTGATTCGTTTTTTTTGTTTTGTTTTCTGTCAGAGTTGTGATATAGAAAAAGGAAATTAGAAAATAATAATATTAATAACGTGGTTTGGTTGGTTTGTTTAGTCTTCATTTCTTAAATGTAAGATGACTGTTGGATACAGATTGGCTTCTTTCAGCGTAAGTGTATCGTCCATGTCAAGGATGTTATTGGATTGACCGCCGACAAATGGGCAAATCACTTTGTATGGATCGCTGGTGAGTTCGGGATATTTAAATGGTATATACAGTTTGAGAGCTTTCAATTTGGTCGTGCAAGGCCACTCGAGAACATCGCGATCACCGGAGGGAAGTCGCAATTGTATTCGCGCTTTTGCGTCTGCAATGAAGAGAATATAATTCATTTGGTATTAATTTTTTTTTTGTCTTTCTTTTTTCTTTTTAAAATACACCAAAATTTGATTATTCAATTGAAATTGAATTATTTTTATAAATTTTTATTCCGAATCTGTATTTGAAACAACGAATTTCAATGGAAATAGATATTAAAAAAGAAATTTGAAGAAATAATGAAAATAAAATAATTACCACTTTCATCGCCTAGATAATTGTCGTACGTTTCCACTGTTTCCGCTTTCGTTGTGCTCGCAATGGGCTCATCGACTTTTGAATCACAATCGGGTTCCGTTATTTTATTATCAAATGTATTTGATTTCTCTGATACGGTCTGTGATGTTTGGCTTTTTACGTATGATTGATTTGACGATTCATCATCGAAATCAAAGTCCGACTCATCCGATGGCTCACCAAAACTCTCACTTTTATTGTCATCTTCGGCGGCACTTACCTCTCGCAGTGAATGTGCTGCAAAATTGAATTGGAAAATTGATAAGAAATGATTGCATATCCGCTAGCAATTTTGCTGCCCAAAGCAACTGCTTCGCCAGCGTCGTGCTTTGCACGCTATCGTATACAAAGAATATATTCTTTTCTTGAAACTTTGAAATTTACGACCATTTTCGGCTTATTTTCCATCATTTTTTGAATTATTCTGACGATTTTGGCTTTTTTATAAGCTATCGATCATTAGATTGGCATTTAACCATAACCCAAGGTCAGAATATGAGCTTAACTGACCATTTTTCTTATTTTTTTGGCATTAACAAAAGGTTATGTCTATTGTGATGTGTATACGATACAGAATTTGTGGGCAAATTCCATTTTTTTAGTCCATTTTCAATAGAATTTCCCATGGTTCGATTCCAGGCATGAATTTCTTTTATTTAAATCCCTCTGTGCTTAGGTATTTCTCTATATTTTCCTCAAAATGTTCGAAAATAAAAAAATCCAATGCAGCAACACCTACCAATGGCAATTTCAATTTGTTCTTGTTCGGTGAGTGATGATGGTTCAAGTCGTTTCCGTTTGGCACAGGGTGATGCTGTTGCGTGATTATTTGTTGAATTTGATGGTTTGATTGGATCAAAGAATTTATCATCCACTTCACTGACGTCACCATCGTCCTAAGTAGTAAAGAATAAAGAAGAACAAGACGAAAATTAATTTTTAGCTCGAAATTTAAACTTTGAATATTTCGGGAAATGTTCGACCCTTGAAAGATGTAAACTTTTAGATGCGAAGAGAATACTATTCATTCCAAAGCTATGCAAACGGAATCTTTGTGGAAAGAGGTGCCACGGCAACTATCCCCTCATCGCTTGATTGTATAAAAGATGATGGGCATCAATTGAAACACCAAGTAAGCACTACGCGTCCAGAATCTGAACTCTGGATCGACTCTAGATTGCATTGCCATGTACCAAGGCCGTTGGCCATTCTCTTCAAAAAGGTCACTCCCTTCAAAACGGTCTCTCTTCCCCTTTGGACTTACCACATTCGGATGTGATGTATTTTCCTTCAGATAACTCTTCAATATGTCCATAAAATCGTTGAGTGTGACTTTGAATCCAGTTTTGTAGCTAAGTTTTTCTTCGCCGGTCCGTGGATCGATGATGCCAACGTACGGAAACACTTGAATGCTATAAAATACTTGAAAACGATGTCCATCCGTATTATCAATGGCCACTTGCCAGAAAATGAAATATTTTTTAATAACAGCACGTAGTTTGTCGCTCGACCAAATATCACGGTTCAGTACTTGACAATTAAAATCGCTCATATCTTGTACATTAACAATAAGCCATTTATTTTGCTCTTTGGCATAATCGCGGGCGGCCTGAAACGATCCACAAAATGTGATGTCAACCGGTGGCCGAAACAGTTCGCTCAAACGTGATGGTACGGCCGATGCTTTTGTGGACGATTGTACACTGCTTGTGACACGATTCTGAAACAATTCCCGGGTACTATTCGAAAAACCGAGCATGGCTGCTTTTGGATTCGGTGCAGTAGTCGGCAATGATAAATAATTCATTGAGTCGTCATCATCAGTTCCATCGGCACCCGTAAAATTGCCCATAACCGCCGCTTTGAGACGTTCCTCTTGCATTCGGCCTTCAAGTTCGAAATTCCGTAATGGACACACCGTCGTTCGTGATGCTACCGTTCTTCGTTTGCGATACCGAAAATTGTCTTCGTTTGGCAGAATCAATTGTTCACGTTTCGGGGCGATTGGCGGGCGAACTTCATCCTCATCATCGATCGGTAGATTTGCATCGGTTGATGTGGACGCCGCTAGAATAGAAAATTTAACACATTTTATACACTGGTTGAAATGATTTCATAGTTTAGCTCTCCAAAATAAATTAACATGACGGTTCACAAAAAAGTGTTGAAATTGTTCAAAATTGTCCGCTTTCTTACCAGCGACATCATCTTCCGGGGCACCGATCGCATTGGACCGCTCCAAATGATAGTTGATTGCCTGTTCCAAGTTGAAATTGTTGACGATGAGCGCTTGTTTGGCCGTATCAAAGTCAGCACCTTTTAAAAATATAAACATTAATTCAATGCGCCTTATGCTGGAGCCAGCAGTTTTTCAATGATTCAGCCACGATTCTACCAAATGTTCGAATAGTGTAAGAAAAAATTGGTTTTTTTTTATCGCATGTCGCAACACCTTACCCGATATTTCCATGAACAATGCAATTTGATTATTTTGTTCGGTTTCGTCGCTCATACTGTTGCCTGTTCAGAACTGTTCACTGTTGTGGCTCAATCTCAAAACTAAAATCCAAACAGACTGTGAGCCACTTCACTTTCTTTGTTGCGTGTGTTGGACCAAACCAAGCTCTACTTATCGAAATATACTTCTTAAAATTACACTAAATAACTAGCACGTGCGTGAGAATCGAATTTATTGTACGAGCAAGACAAACAAAAATATCCTACAATATCCAATATCGGGTTTTTTGGTCAGTACAAGTCTATGCAAGTAAAATCAAAAGGTTCATTTTCTTTTCTCTACTCCGATCGACACACTCGAGAGCCAAGCACCAGTAAACAAAACGTGTGTATAAACATAAATAAAGGCAAAAAAACGAACGAAAACACATTCAATTGGACCAAGCGCACTTCTTAATGGCGTCTGACGGTTTTCGTGCACTGTTTGTATTATATTTCTATGTTATTTTGTTTCGGGTTCTTCTTTCACTCTATCACGGCTTCTTCCTTCTCTTTCTATCTGCAACGATGCAATTTCGGATTTTGATGTTGCGCGTTTTTTTTTCTTCTCTTCGTTGCTTGCGTTCGTTCGTTCGCTTCTTTTGCCTCCAATTTCACGACCTGTCACTTCTGTAATCAAGAGAGCGCGCGGCTACACAACAGCCAAACATCACAATGTGTCAAAATTTGGATGTGTGTGCGTGTGTGTTTTGCGAATCGACGGTTTCGCCATCTTTAGACAAATTTGGTATCAAGTGAGAGAACAAAACCGAGTGAGCAAGCGAGAGAAAAAAAGAGAGACAGAGAGCGCGCGAGTGAGATCAATAAAACCATTAAATTTCTATGACTTTTTAATCAAATGATTTGGGGTACATTTTTTTTTCTTCGTTTTTCGCTAAGCCCATTTGCATGTTTAATCGCTGAGTGGGGCAAAAAGATAATAATGCGATTATCCGTGTTAAAAATAGGCAAAAAAAGATGAAGCAAACAAAAAATGTGATAACGCATTTGCTTTGGCTCCAATTTCAAACGGATTTTTGTTTTCGTTGCTTCGTCATTCGGATTGGTATTCACAAAAGTTTTGGCCTGTTTGTGAAGCCATAACGAAAAAATAAACGACTGGAAGAGAAAAAAGGCGACCGGAGAGAAGAGAATAAAAAAAACGACCAGAGAGACGAAAATTGTGTGCCGATGGTTTGGTGCATTTTCGCATATAAGTGCGTTGTCATTGAATCGTTGCGCATAAAACGCATCACTTCTGTGCAGCACAAAATCCATCGCCAACAACAACACTGGCAAACAGCAACACAGCAGCAGCATTTCAACGTTTTATGCGAAAGCAGCAGCAGCAGCAGCAGCAGCAGCGAACATATGTTGGTGTGCGCTCTGATTTTACAGATGAGAGTAAACGAGTCACGGACATGAATGCATTGTGCTGTGTCAGTGACGCAGCAAAATACATATAGACACACATACCATCGCATACATATGATATCGTCGCGATGAATGTGAACGAAGAGACCGAAAAAGAGACAGAGAGACAGAGCGAATGGGAGAAAAAGGGACAAAGAGAACGATAGAACAACTGAGTTGAACATTTAAAAGACCAAAGACAGAACCAAAAATGAATGGTTGCGATGAAAAGGTATCGAAACAAAGGGTTTCGGCCTAGAAAATCCACTACATTTCGGAAAACTGTGTGTGTGTATGAAAACGAAAGCGATTTGAGTGTTGGAATGGCCTTTCGAATCGATGGTTGTGTGTCGTTATATGTGTATGGGGCAAAAGCAAGGCTTGAGAATTGATGGAGAAAACGGCGAAAAATTGCATATTCCTATGATTTGGATCACACGCACATAAATACGCATACCCAAACACACCGTGTCAGCACATAGACAGAGACATTTTATCGACAAATGATGAAAAACGAGCGAACAAAAGGGCGATAGAACGAGAGAGCGGAATGGATGTGGAAGCGAGAGAATGGTATTTGACTGGCATTATTTGAAACGCGAAAAATCCGATGGATGTTGGTGCTGGTGTAGCACCAGTCCCAGTGACAGCGCGCGCTCTCTCGCATATGCTACTGTATCGACGACAATATACAGAGACACACACGAAACGGCTGCTGCTATTTTATGCACAACCACACCGCACAACTGCAAACAGCTTAAAAACCTTGTTCACTCTCTCGGTGTGCGTGTGTGTATGTGTCGTTGTTCCTACTTCTTCTTTCCTTTTGAACAGGAATCGGATAAGAAAATCGAATCGTGGTTCTGTGATTGTGTATCCATGCACACGCTCACACACATAGCCATCGCTCCGAATCGTCTCTGTTCCGCAGTTAGTGCGGTTATGCTATATTTATCCTTGTCTGATCCATTGCGGCCCTCTATACCATTCAATAACACTTATGTCAAACTCTGTGTGTACTATACGCGTTTGAATTTGTATGAAAATGAATCAAATTGCTACCATTTTTTTTTGTATGTCGCAAAAATTATGGTTCTGGTTCTTTCAATACAGCGCCTGATTTTTATTTGCTCTTTCCCTGTAATATTAATTTTTTCTATTTGAAATGATGCGAAATTTGCTTTGCTGAAATGATGACATACATGTCTGGTTGCTGTGCAACTGCCATGATTGAAACACAACATTTTTTTTTCGTTCGAAAATTGCAAAATGCAATTGTAAGCGTGTGTGTGTGTGTGTGTGTGTTGCGAGTTTTGGAACAACGATGCTCTCAAATGCCAAAGCACACACGATGACAACGACACGATGAAAAAAATTGAAATGAAACGAAAAAAAAAACGGCACACACCAACTGAACTGATGCCCCTTTTTCTGTAAAGGAGAATCCAACACACACACTCACCAAAACCAAAACTCACACACTCGCACCAAACTCTATGACATGCAACTCACATTTACATGCAAAACTACTGTGAAAAAAAAGAAGAGAGAAAAAAATCGCTTCAATCGGCACAGCAGCAGCAACAGCAGCAGAGCAGGCAAAGTATCGCTATAGCGTGCGGAGAGACAAAAAACGCTAAATCGTCTACTTTCGCTCTCGGTCGCTCTATGCCGAAAAACCGAAAAACTCTCAGGGTATACATGTTCTGTGTTGTGTATTCTTCGTTGCAGTATTATTGAATTGTCGACGTGAATAGAGATCGTGTTAGGTAAGGTTGTGGTGCAGTGTTTAGTGTGTTGGTTTTGTTTTTGGGGTGCACAGTGATGTCAGATATTGTTAGCGACGACGAAGGAATTTCTGGACAAAGTATGTGAAATAAAAAATAAATACAACAACCAAAAAAAATAAATAAAACCAATTAAATCATAGTCAAAATGAATAAAATTCAAGATTCTTTTCAAAATACCCAATCGAAAAAGTACCAAATAAAAAGAAAAAAACAGAAAATCAAACCAAATAAAATAATTTGACAAATCAAACAGCATAAAAATAAAATTGAATTCACAAGCAACAAAAAAAATATTAAGAGCAAGAAAAAAAAATCGTATTCAACGCAAAAAATCCACAAAACAGAAGTACAAACACCAGAAACTCAAAGCGAAAGAAAAAAAAAGTTTCATATTCGTAAATATATTTTTTTTTTTCGTTCTCCATGAAATTTCATTCTCCGATTATTTATACATGTATAGAGTTCAAACCGAAGAGAGAAGAAGAAACAAAAAAAAACGCAGAAAAATAAAATAAAATTACACACAGAATTTAATCACGTTCTAACTTCATACATAAAAATTCAACTTAAACATATTCAGTATTTTTGTTTGGCATTCATAAATCCATTTCGGACACATAAAATCGCGTCACTAATGCAGAAAGAGAGCAAGAGCCAGAGCCGAGTGAGTGAGAATAAGCGAGAGTGAGTGAGAGGGAAAGAGTGAGTGAGTGAAGGAGCGTGCGAGCGAGTGAGAAAAAAGCGCACACATTTGGCAAAACGCGGACAAAAAGAAAAAAAAAATCGACCACAGAAAAACGAAAAAATTAAAATAGATCGAGAACAAGCAGCAAAAAAAAGAGCGAAAAATGAAAGAAACGAGCAGAACGAATGAAAAGAAAAACGCGAATCAGCGAAAAAAATACACAGTCGAAATGATGAAAACTGACAAAATCATTGGAAAACAATTAAAAGTAGCAGTATCAATATGAAAAAAAGGTAGTAAGAAGAAGAAGAAGTCTTGAGAGACAGAGCGAGCGAGGGAGAAAAAAAACACCGAGACTTGCCAATGAAAACCGTAAAAAAAAACTTCAATCAGTGTCAAAAACTATCTGATATATCTAAAAGTATCCGGGTTAGAATATGGAACAAAAAAACAGTGAACACAAGGAACAAAATGTTTGAGCAAAAAAAAATGAAACCAAATGAATTGAAATGAACTGCTGATATTTATTGACATATTAGAAAATACACGAGTTCCACCGTTCTCGTCGTCGTCGTTGTTGTCGTCAAAATGACGTTCACATCGATTGTTGGTTGTACACTCGCTTTTTTTTCGCTCGGATTTCTATCGGGTTGATTTAAAGTTTTCTAACTTGAACAACAACAAAACACACAACAAAATTGGAATATATTGAAGGAAATGCAAAGAAGACGAGCAAAAAAAATAATAATGAATGAACCGAATGGAAACGAAAGAGCAATGCACAAAAAAGAGTCCAATAATAATAAGATCAAAATGCATCAATCATCATGCACTTATTGGAAATTATCGTTTTTAAATAAATAATAGAATTCGTTGGTTTGAATGGAGAAGAAGAACAAGAGACACACGAGAAAAAAAAGAAGAAATAATTGAAGAAGACCGAATCGGTTCTGTTTCGGTTCAATGAGAAATTTGTTGGTGTGTACGAAAAATTGCTGGAATCGTTGTTGGTTTTTTTTTATGTTTTGTTATAGTTTTGAATGCAATCTTGAAGAAAAAAATGGGAAAAAATCGTTGTTACTGCAATTCGTTTGGAATAAAAGTTTTTTTTTCCTCGGGTTTTCGGTGTGAGTGAGAGAGAGTGAGAGACTGTGTATGTGTGTCCTAATAAATTGCAATAAGCTTATAAAGTGTCGATAGAAGTCGTCGTCGTCTTTTTTCCCTCTTCTTCATTGTATTGTTTGCTGCTGTTTTGCTACATACACAAATTTCGTCGATTTTTTTTCTCTTCTTTTGCTCGTTTCTTATTCATTCGCGCACCGTTCATTTGCCATTGAATCTTCTACTCTGGGACAATTTAATTATTGTCGTGTATTTTGGAACTTGGAACGCGAGCTCGATAAATGCCACTTGAGTAGAGTGTGGCGATATAGAGGTTGTCGCATAGAACTGTCAAGCGTGGAAAGAAAAGAATGTCAAGCGCCAAGAGCTGAAGAAACACTGTTTTATCCTGAAAAATTTCGAATGTAATGCCGAATTTAGCATATTTTGCCTACGACTTAAACAAACAGACCGCATTAATTCCCGTTCACAATTGACCAGTTAACAGTTGAACACCAACAATCATCGAGACCAAAAGAAACATTCAAATCGTGAGAGAATAAAATGGGACTAAGAGATATTGTCTAATTGTTAAAATGTGTCGACGCATGTGAATTTTGCAAATTTTCGCGTTTACCGCCAAACCGTTTGTCTTTGTTGCAAAGTGTAATTCTCTGACGACAGATCCCTAGTTGCCTCCAGCTCAGTCAGAACTGTCATGTCTCGTGTACCAGAAAGAAAAATCGCTTCTATCTATATCGCTGTGAGAACGGAGGCAAGGTCCTGGAAAGTCATTTCACCATTTCGTGTCTGTTTTTTTTTTTTTTTTTTGGTGCAGTTCGGTGAATGAGTTGACCCGATGCGATTTATCGGCTCAACGACAATCGATTGACAAAATGAATATAACAACAACAACAAAATTTACATTTTGAGCCATAAAAAATAGCGCAAATGCTTGACAGAAGCGAAGAAAAACGAGACTCGAGAAACGCGACAAGAGTGGAAAAGAGAGAGAGAGAGAGAGAGAGCAAATGAATGTGTGAGAGAGGGAACGAGGGGGAGTGAGTGAAAGAGAGAGAGAGAGAGAAACCGTCCAATTTCAATTGTAGTGGATGTGTTATGATGTTGATGACGATGATAATGTTGAAGAGAAGAGAAAAAAAAAATTACATTTGACTGTGTGTCTACTTGTTCTATGGATTGAGCATTTATAGTTCAAGCTTGTACTCAGTGTGGTGGAGCGTCAAACTCTCGCTACTTGCTTGCTGCTACTCGCAACACACGCAACCGTTCTCACCAACTCACAAATACACCACTAGTGAGTCGCGCTCTCTCTCTCTCTCTCTCGCTTGAACGTAAATCGGCATGTTGTCTCGCTCTAGTTTTCAGTCATGCTCTCTCTCCCTCTCAATCGTGTCAGCCAGTACGAAACATGTAACTACACCGCAACCGTAAAACCTTCATATAATACATAGAATACAATTTCGCTTTTGCTTACTAGCAAACATACACAACTTTTTTTCGGTTCACTCTTCGCTTCTCTCTCTCTCTCTCTCTCTCTCTGGTTCTCTGTTGTAGCTAGTTTTGTTGTATATTACAGCACATATAGCATATATTATATTTGAGCTAATGTTATGGCCCCAATTACGGGCTCCAGCATTGACGTTCTGTACTGTATAGAGAGAATACGCCAGCAAATCGGAGACACTTTCGATATTCAAAGACCGATGATACGGTCACAAGCACGGTCTCAACGCGCAAACAATTGCACAGAGAAGTAAAATAATAAAGCAACAACATTAAAAACATTCGCTTTAGCCCACATTTATACTGGACGTGGACACTTATAACATCAGCATAGATACAATTGAACATTTGTTTGGCATTCGACACAAATATCTCAATAGAAATTGATATAGGGAAAAATATCGAAGGATTCCACCACAAACCTTGAACACAAAATCGTTCATCAATCGATGCACTTTTTAGCGGTACGGTTCTGGTGTGTTTCGTTGAGTTCTAATTCGTCATTTTGGACAATTTTTTTTTTTTGGTCGATTTTTCCTCTACCAGACCAGATCTATCTTAAATACATTTTTATTTCTCTCACTCATGCAATTCTATTGGGCCATCGTAAATTTATGCTTCCGTGCGCGAAGCAAATTATCTTAAGCGAAAAGACCTCGACGGTAATTATGACACAGATTGTATGGTTTTGTAATCGTCGTGTGTGTTTTTCTTATTTCTCTTTATTCGGTATTTGTGTGCGCGCGAGCTATTGAATCCGTTTGCCAAATTGCACTCAAATCAAAACCAAACATGACACACAACGCGTTCGTTAACATTTAACAGATTAGATACAATAAAATGCACACGCATTCTCGAATGCGGTGCTATAATTCATTTAAGTTCAACCCACCATCAATCGGATAAGAACAGACAACGGAGCAGAGGAGAAAATATTGCAATTGAACCAACGCTTTCTTTGAACCACAATTTACGCCATTGTGATACATCACAGTTTTTTTTTTCTTTTCGTTCTCTCTGTTTGTTTGTTTCGTCAAAGAATCGGTTTTATGGCTAAGAAGAATCAATTTCATCAGAATGGATAAGAATTGAGAATAGCTGAGAATCGAACTTTTCACACACAGGATCCTGTGTTCCAAACACAATGCTCGTCTCTCTATGCTATTCAGGGACACTCGGCTATACCTCTCAATATTCTACACTCTCCCTATCTCTTTTCGAAAAATAAAGTTTTTCCTACCGAAACACAAGAAGACGGAATAATTGTGCAATGATTTTGAATGTCAAGCACATTTTCGCCGAAATTGGTACTCCAAACCAAAATCATTTACATTAAAATTTCATACGGTTTTTCACTATAATCGATTTTTTCAATTACGTTTGTGTTTTCCACTGTTTGATCTAGATTTTTCGAAATGCCTTCTTTTTTTTTTAAATGAGAGTGGTTCTCGAGACACATTTCTCTTCATTGTTATAAGCACTTCATTTTTTTTTGCCTCTGAATTCATAATACGTGAGATAATTAATGAATTTAATCGCTGTTCCCAAATCGTTCATTTTTCTTACATTCAAATGTCATTTTTTCACCTAATTTTGACTCCATTCGAATGGAGATTTGCGATCGCAAAATGTCTTGGTTTGTAATTTAAATTTTTTGATTATAACTGAATGTAGTTTGGCAAATTTGCACATCGCGTGTACAAGCGAAGCGAAATCTCAATTGTCGCATTTCATCATAATGGCCATTTAATAAGCTGATTTGAG